ATGATATTCTATTTGAAATTTTGGTTTCCCTGGAGCATTACGTGGCATTTGAAAACTACCACATTTCTTTTCTTTAATAACTCTGTAAATCGTAGATTTCCCAACACCAAGTGTACTGCTAACTAACTCAACGGTCTCATCAACACTTTCACATAAACGTTTGTCTGTAAATGATTTAAAACAATTAAATATTAATGTTTTTTCATTAACTGTTAAAGGACCAATTTTTCGGCGTTTACACGGTACCTCCAAATTTTCCATAATACTAGTATACACAATAAACTGCACCTTGCAACTGAAGTACCTACTTTTAGTGAACTGTTAAGAATTTTGAATACGCCACTTGGACCTTCCTACAAAATGGAAAAACCCACTATCACATTTTCTGTGGAATAAGTTTAGAAGGTAATTATCTAGTCAATTACTGTCGTAGATTCCTGGAATTAAAGAATTAAATGTTTGATTGTTGAAACTCTTACTTCGTGGAATGCACTCATTTCAGATAAAATAAAACGTTTTATTTTATCTAAAGAATTAAACTTTATTTTGCAAATAGGTAGGTACTTATTAAACTTTTATTGGTTATATATAACCAATAAAATAAACATCTTACATTTCTTGCAAATTCATTAGTACCTGTTAACCTCCATCACTCCGACACTGGCAACCTTATTTAGGGATTAGTAACCCTCACAACTATTGTATTCTATTCTGCTCCAAACTTTATACCTGGTGGTCATACTCAATTTAAAATTGTTTTCCTATATACTTCTGTAAACTTGTTGACAAATATCTGTTTTTCATTGAGTCACCCGTATCAACAGTTTAGGGATTTGCATACATAAATTATTGTTTTATTACTCTCTCATACATAAAAATACACAGGATCCAAGTTTTGTTACCCCTCTGTGGCCTAAGCCTTCATGCCTAAAAAAGCAGTCGGTCTTGTCATTTCCAATTTCAGTTACCTGTAAGATTTTCTTGGTTAAAAATCATTACACAAAAGAAGAACATGTTAAGGAGTATACATTAAGAGTATTATAGGATTCATATTTAGACATCTTAAGATAGATGTTATAAAATGCCCAAATATGAATGCTTAATTTTGAAAGATAAAATTTTCGATATTTTTCGAAGTTCTATTATACCCTTAACAAAATGTAAAAAAGTATTACATTACTATCATGTTTTAGACCAATGGTAGTTTACTTACCGTAAAGTTGTAACAGTTGAGTCGACTTATATAAAAAAAAAGCAGAGGTTTGTCCCGTTGGAACAGGTAACACAGCCTGTAGATCGTATACATCTAACACAATTTCTTTGTTTTTGGCTTTTTCTTTATTTTTCTCCTTTTCCTCTTTACTTAATTCTTTTTCATCTAGATGTTCCCGATATTTAGTCTCTAAGGTTTGCTTTTCCATATCTACTGAATTCCGGTAGGTTTGGCAGAGATCACATTGATCCTTTTTCGGAATAAAAAAAAATCCTAAATTGTATTATGTATTGAATATTCGCTCATACGTATAATAGGTATCGGATTTTTTTGAGCTGAAAGACTTTCGCTCGAATAATTTCGATGTTATTCAGAAATAGACAAACCGCCATCTATAAATTCCCTGCTAGTCTCCTTTCGGACATAATGACTCTCAACTCTAGGAATAGAACTGATGTGATTCCGTACTGATTGTATTACTTTTTTATCCACCTTTCTATGTTTGCCGTGCTTTCCTCTTTTATCTTCTAGCACAATTCCATTACCTGCTGCTCTTGACTCGATAACTGTTCGGATATTTCTTTCTGTTATTCCAAGAGTATTAATTAGTAATGTTTTTCATACTTGGGTTTTTTTTTCAATAATTATAAGATAGAAGGCACAGTTTGGTATTCGAGGTACTCCAGCGGTGATTCGTCTATATTTAGGTTGGAGTGGTTGAATAAAGGAACCCAAGAAATCACGTTCCCTCTGCATTGAAGCCATCTTCCAATAGTCCTTTATAATCTGAGCTTTATACTTCTCAGACACTTTATTTGAACACGCAAGTGTACACTTCTCAGGACAAGGTGGTCCCTTTTTTTCCCTGCATCACTTTTTCCAATCTAAATACATAGCTCTTTCCACTACTCTTTAATCTTTTAGCTTTTACGCTTTTCCAATTTTTAGTGCTTTTTACCCTTTTTTTTTCTTTCTGAACATTTGCTAAATTATCATCAAATTCTACGACATCTGTAGTATTTGAAGTGTTAACTAACTCTTGCAGAACAGTTTTTTTGTGCCTGATTCTGAAGTTGACGAGCAGCTTGAATTGTCTTCAACAACGAAAGGCTCATAATTATCACTCGAACCTGAATAAAACTCTTTTAAGCTTTGTGAACTCATCGCATTGTACGATTTTTTACCAACTTTTCTTATTCTAAGTCTAGTTGCATTTTCATTTTGTATAACATATGAATCGGAAGTAGAATTTTTTACTCCAGAATCTGAATTTGCGTTCAAACATCCAGGCATTTCATAAATATCATCTTGATTTTATTTAAAGAAAGAGCAAAATTAACTAGCCTATCAGCTCTTGCACCCATATTAGATGCAGTCTTTCTGTAACAAAATAGTTAAGATTATTATTTGACAAAGAATTATTAATAACGTCAAAGAATACCTAAATTAACATATAAAATTTCAGGTAACAACGTCAGAAAGAACACTTACGTCAAATTAAAGAAGATTAATTAGACAATACTGTCATAAAGAACAGTTGTAACATCAAAAATTTTAAAATTTGTAATTCAAATGACATCATGTACACTTACGTCGTTATTCATTCAAATTTGCACACACAAAAATCCACAACGATATCGAATTATACAATTGCGTCATTCTTCAACTGAAACAGTAACGTCTAACGTCGAGGTTTACACACAACTGAATCACACGTCAATGTTTTGACGAAGGAGGCCTGACAGGCACCAATATTCAAGCAACGATGTATCTTCATGGTGTAGATACAAGCATGCTATTTAGGGTGGCAGTGAATAAAATTAAAATAGCTATAATGGTAACCAACGTTCTGAAAGGATATGGTACATGAAGAAGAAGATGTATCTGCTATCTAGCGGCCGAGTGACGTAGTACATTTACGTCATTATTTTTCCTCATAGGGGCGTTTATTAAGAACCTAATACAGTTGTTAAGTCAAATTGTTATAAATTTGCAGTTACGTCATTCGGCTGTCCCATTGCAAAACACAGTAACTGTCAAAACGCCATTTTTGCCAAAATCGAGTTTGTTATACATTTGAAGTTGCTGTGTTTTGCTCTACCTTCTGATAGTTTTAAAACTAAGATCGGACCATAAATACGCAAAACACAGTAACTGACAGTCGAACGAGGCTTCTTCCAGTGCAAAACACAGTAACTAACAAAACCCATATTAAAACCAAGTAACTGCTACGTAGTTACTGGGTTTGGTAATGGTTTTTGTAGTTACTGTGTTTTGACTTGAGAAATTGTCTTCAATTTATACGGAAATTCCAACCCCTGCCTCCTACTCTGTAACCACGTAACTGTAAACACAGCGTGTTTTTCAAGCAGCTATTCGACTCTACTCACCAAAGCGACAGGATTCTGCCCCGTGACACGATGCTATAAAAAAAATAGCATGTAGTACGCGAACTAAAAATATAGTTTCTTCGGCACGTTCGTGTTTAAAGAAGGTAAGTTAAAATATTTCTAAAACATCTTATATTTATTATTGCTTCGTCGATAGATCCTTATGTTTTTAGAATGTCGCTGAGCTTCCGCTTTTTCCAAAGATAAATTTTGAAACATCTTCATTTTTTATGTCCAATTATGAAAGTGGAAATCAAAAGAAAATATACTTAAAAAGGCTGCAAACTTTTTGCTCTTCAGATGATTTGGTACAGGAAATGAAATATTTGAAAGTTAATCGCATAGAAAGCCCAGTCGATGACAGTGACCAAGATAAGAATTATTACTGCCCCACTCCAGAATCATATTCTAGCGATAGCGAAAATTATGACGAAATTAAAATTAAGGCAAAGAAAAGAAAATTGAATACCAAGAAAAAGCCAGTTCAGGAGTCACGTCAGGTAATTAAGGGTTTTTATTAATGTAGTTTAAGACATTAAAATGGTGTCTACAATCCATTAGGTACATTAAATAATTTTTTAGAATGAGAACAAAGAGAACAATAATGTTAAGGCCGAATCGCCCAATGCCCTTGGATATCTCCAAAATAAAGAAGATACTACTTGGTTGGTAAGTTTCTGGTTTATTTTTAATTAACCTTTACTATATACTTTCTATTGTTTTAGGTTAATAGTACTGTGGACGGAATAATTAACGAAATGAATCGAACAACACAAACAAGGAAGAATAAAAATAGACCAAGGGGAAAAGAAAAAACTGAAAGGGACAAGAAAAAACATCCTATGAGAGCCATCTGTGAAGTTAAATGTGGTAGGATGTGCAAAAAAATAACAGAAGAACACCGAAACAATATCTGGATAGGTTACTGGAATTTAGAGTATACGAGTAGACGAAAGTGGTTGTACAAACAAGTAAAGCTGGTTCCTGTTAAACGTAGAACCAAGTCAGCAAAACGTGAGAGGTGTGAATCAAGGAGTTACACTTTACCGCTAGAAAATTCTACTGACATAGAGGTATGCAGACATACTTTTTTGAATACCTTAGGGTATACCAACGATTCTGTAATAACAGAATTAGTAGCAGTAGTTAAAAAAGGGCATTGTGGAGATCGTGTAAAAAGGAACGTAGAGGTGGCTGCCGTAAGCAATCCAATAGAGAAATAATGAAGGACCATATTGAGTCATTTAAGCCATCAGTGAGTCATTATCGTAGAAAAAATGCCCCTAATGTTAAGTATTTATCGAAAGAGTTGACATATAAGAAAATGTTTGATGATTTTGTAACAAAAACATCCCTCTGTTTGTAAAATCGAAGTATACCGTCAAGTTCTAAAGGAAATGAATATTTTACTTTGCCAACCCAAATTGGATATCTGTGAAGAGTACAAAATGTTAAAGAACACGTTGGAAAATAAAGAAGACGGTGAAATTCAAGATCAGCTAAATTCCCACCGTGCTAAAGTAGAAAAGGCAAATCTGGAATATAAAAAAGACCCTACCGAAATAGCATGTTTGACGAAACGTATATACTCTATGGCTTTACAAAAAGTGATTATTTTACCTATTATGCCTCAAAGTAAAAGTGCAATTTTTACTAGTTGACTTGTTGTATTCAACCTTACGTTTGCTACTTTAAGTAAACAATCTAAAAATAACAGCTTATGTGTACTCTGGCATGAAGCTTTAGGTGGACGTAAAGCTGAGTCGATTGTTGACGCTTTATTTAAAGTAATAAGAAAAGAAAGATATGTCTCTTATTTTGTATTTTGGGCAGTTAACTGTACATCACAGAATAAAAATTGGGTTCTATATAGTTCCTTGATAACTGAAGTAAATGGTTCTTACGGACCACATGAAATCGTTATAAGATATCTTACAAAGGGCCATACGCACATGTCTGCTGATGGAATTCATGGCAATATCGAGCAAAAAATACTAAGGAACAGAAATATCTACGATTTTCAGGAACTGACTGAACTTGTAAATAACTCTAGAAAAAATGTAGAGGTACTTGAGTTAAAAGAGTTTCACTTGTGGCAAAATAAAAAAAGGACAACTAAGAAGCTAGAGGATCCTTTAAAGGGTTTTCTATTACAAAATTGGGTAGAAGTTCTTTTTACACGAGGAAGTAATTTTATAAAATGTAAAACAAATTTTGAGGACGATTATAAGGAACTAGATTTTTTACAAAAAACACACTGTCCAAGCACGTTTACGCCCAAAACTTTAAATATGCGTGGAATCTCAAGCGACAAAAAGGCAATTATTTTGAAAAATAATTTTAATATGTGCTGATCACAGATTCATAACTTTGACTGCCTATCAAAGTTGTCATATGTCACATGTCACCGTTACATTTCCGCTTAGATCATTATCCCTCCAGATACTGACAAAGAATGTAGCGTAGAATCTTCAAAGTAATTTTAAACTGTTTGTCCTCGTTTTAGTATAGTGTTTTGTACAATTTTATGTCATTATTAATGTTTCCACATTCTACGCTTGCCGGATAGTTTATATTTGACGAAGTAAGTCTAAAACGTTAATCTCAAAAACTTTTTTTCATCCATTAACTTTGAGTTTTTTATCGAAGTTAACTAATTTCCTTCATCTAAAAAACGTTTTCTTGGCTTATTTCAGATGCCCCTGAAGATGCTATTTTAAGCGAAAGTACTTGGGCTAGATTTAATTTATTTTGTGCTCGATAATAGCCTTATTTTTCAAAGTTCGATGTATTTTTGTTTAATTCGTCCCTTTTGTCGTTTTAGTAATATTACCCATTTTTGTTTTAAGTACAGATTGTTTATTTTGTCCGCTTTGTTAGTTCCAAATTTTTATTCATAGTTTTTACATTAGGTAAGTTTGTATTTTGTATTCTATATTATTAAAATAAATATCTTTTATCATAGACATAGTTTTAATTTACTTTTGCAAAACACACTAACAGCACTTACTGTTTCGTAAAATGGAGTATTTTTTAAGTATGTACTAGTTACAAAACATAGCAAAGGCAATTACTGAATTACTAAAAATCTATGCAAAGTTAGTTTTCACTGGCGATCTCTACTTCTAAGGCTGATTATTCCGTTCAATAATATTTAAAAAAATGTGAATAAAGGTTCTCTAACACACCGTCAAGTTTGTATTTAAATTTATTTAATAATTTCTCCATTGTTGTAAAACTGCAATTACTGTGTTTTGCCATGGGACAGCCGCATTGTTTCACCGGAACGGCGATATAATCTTTTAAAAAGATTCTAACAATCAAAACTATATATAGAAGTTGTCAAAAGTAACAATTTTTAAAATGTGGTGCTCTAAACCTTTTAAACCAGTTTTCTAACAATTGTACTTGATTGACATTCCTCTTTTTTGCAGTGTACTCTTCATATGCATTTAATATTTCATCTATAATTTAATTAAAATCTATTAATTTTTATATCAATTCAATGCATTTTTAATATATATCTGTATAAAATAACTGAGGATATGGCAACTATGACATCATTTAAGCTTGCATTCAAATATATATTTTATGTTTGGTTACGTTCATTGCACTAAACTAATTATTGACCTTTTACTGTAATGTAGTTTATCTTATTGATTTTAGCAATGTTTTATTTTCGGTCGATCTCAAATCACCTATTTTACTATTAACTGAGTATGGATGTACTATACAATCAATTATTATTTTCCCATATTTTAAACATCTCGAGATACAAAATTCAGTAAAGTTTATGGTCCCATAAATGACAAAGTTTAAGTAAGGTACAATGACGTCATAAACTCATATAATCGAATATAACCCAGTTGTAATAATACTGAATTGAATTTACCACATAAAACAAGTTATTATCCGTTCACAAAGCACCCAGCCGAAAGGGTCCGATGGGTCCAAGCAATAAAATAGTAACTTTGGTTTCAAATTGTCAAAGTTAGAATTTAATTAAATAATAAATAATTGGTTAAAAGATGTAGATGTTACTAAGTTTTCTAAAACTATTCCTATATATTGATCAGTTCAAATTATTATTTAAGATAAAAAAAATGTATAGGGGAAAATAAATTTACAAATATCTAAGTTATGAAGATACGCATGTTCAATATCGAAGTAATAGCATCCAAAATGAAAAATTGGTTAGTTGTAAGTTTCCGAAAGAAGTTGTGAAAAAAGTTTAAAGAAGACCTAATAATAATAATAATTATAGTAATAATATTGCATTGTTTTCAATACCATGTCTAATTCTTGAAGTGAAAACTGGTTGCTGAGATAATATCCACTAATACTATGTTCTCTTATATCTACACAATCAAGAAAAGCTAAGTCAGAGGATACATATGGAGGGGTTAAATTGCTGTGAAATTCAGCAAGCCATTCATCATGATCTGATTGATTTTGATTTGAATATTTTCGATTTTTCAAACTATTTAAATTTTTCCATATATTCTTAAAAGGTACTGATGTGTTGAGAGATTTACAATAATTTTCCCAACTACCTTTTTTATTTGTTTGAAGGTTTTTTATTGCTATAGCATCAGTTCATTAATATTCGGACAAATTATTTAGTGTGAGATTGCTCATATATTTATGCAAACTGTTTCTTCGTTTCTGTATTAGAAATTGACATTGTTCATTCCACCATTGTTTATTTTTATTTGAACTTTGATTTGATTTAAATTTAGGTATAGAATAGTTTGCTGCATTTTCAGCTATTCTTATAAAAGAATTGTAACCACCAACTTCTGTTTTGTTGAACAGTTCTTAAAATTCCATATGATATATATATCCCAGTTTGCTTTTCTAATATTCCATTTTCTACAATATATTACTTTATTAACTTTGGGTGCCATATATATATATATATATATATATATATATATATATATATATATATATATAATATATATATATATATATATATATATATATATATATCTGTGTAATGCATGGTACATGATCAGACCCATAAAGACCTTTTATTGTGTGCCAATATAGTAAATGTTTTACACAAGGAGAACCAATTATCAGATCGATAGCAGAATGAGATTGCAAATAATTTCCTACGAATGTAGGTGATCTATCGTAGCCCAGGGAAATAAGCATTTTTTCATGACACTCGTCCGGCCAGGCAAACAACAGTTGTTTTAAGTAGTATGGACCTCTGTAACAAAAACCTATATGTTTCCTGCAGTCGATGTTTTGTACTTAATTAGTTATTAACAAATTAAGGTCAAAATATGGAAAATTTTTGCTTTTTTCGTCTATCAGCAAAAAGTGAAGCAAGTTAAACAAATTTTAGAAGAAAGGAAACTTATAAGTTATATAAAAAACCTTCAAAATGGCGTTTTCAAAATGATTCTATCCTTATTTGTTGCTTAGAAAGTTGCAAAATAAGTCAAAAATTTCGGTTTTTTATAAATGTTAATAACTTTTTTAAAAATAAACTTATAATATTTATATTTCATGGAATGATGTGTCTTGTAGTTTCCAAAATAGGGTCAAAATTTCAAAGTGATCGGTCTAATAGTTTAAAAGTTATTTTATCTGTTTATCCCAAATTAACATTTTTTGCAACAATATAAGTCAGAAATTTATACAGTTTTAGTAATTCTAAGGGTTGTTTCTGACAGAAAAAAGACTTGTTTTATTAATAACAATAAAAAAAATTAGGAAATTTAATTTTAAATATTGCAAAATAATTTTGCAGAAACATGTCGATGTTTTGCTTAAAAACAATTAGAATACCTTTTTAACCGTTGACTGTAAAAATATTATTTTTACATATTTAAAAAGCTTGAATTTTTTCACAAATTTAAATAAAAAAAAGTTTGTCCTAAAATAATTTGGTATAAAGTTAGCCCTTTTTTTTATTTAATTCATAGCACCTTTGTTTATAACAATTAAGAAATCTAATTAGCGCTATTTGAAAGAATGTACATTATAGTTTTAAAGTACTAAATTTTAAAATTATTGCCCCTTAATGGAATCCTCCACAAAGCTTCAAAATGTATGTAAAATCGGTCTTCTTTGAAACTCTCGGGAGCTGAAGGAGGGGGAAGGCGCTGTTATCTGTTACTCTGTTCCTTTTTTATGTATTTCAACGTTTCTTTTTGAACTTGTATGTACTTTTTGCGTACATTACGAATATGCATTATTTCAATAAATAAATTGTCAAATAAACCACCTAATTTGTTTAAAAACAATTTTTTTTATTTTTTTTAATAGTATTTAAGTTAAGTTTGAATGTAAACCAGAAGTATTTGTCATTTCCTATATTTTGGGGAATAAGCCACAATTTAAGTTTATAATAAGTTTATTTTTGACGTTTCGATTTCTACTTCGGAAATCTTTCTCAGAATACAGCACATTAATAAATTAATCAAATTTTGTTTTTGGTTACTTGGTAGAAAATTTTTCTGATAACTCTTTTGGGTGATTGATTAGTGTGAGGAAGCTCAGTAGATCTGTTATAGTAAAAATTCCAAAAAAAATGTAATGGACAAAAATTGTAGACAGCTTTAAATTCCATATTTTAAAATTAGTTACAATCTTACAGGGTGTTCTATAAGATGGTGGCA